GAAGAGAAGAAAGAAGAGAAATAGAAAAGAATAGAGAAGAGAATAGAAGAATAGAATAGAATGGAATGGAATGGGATGGGATGAGATAGGATAGGATAGGATAGGATAGGATAGGATAGGATAGGATAGGATAGAAGAATGGAATAGAAGAGAAGAGAAATAGAAGAGAGAAGAGAGAAAAAGAATAGAATAGAGAAGAGAAGAGAGGAATAGAATAGAATAGAAAGAATAGAATAGAATAGAATACAACACAATACAACACAATACAATACAACACAACACAATACAATACAATACAATACAATACAAATACTGGTCGCCAACCGGTGGGCTGGGGACCCACTGGTGGTCCGTCAGAACATTTTGGTGGTCCGCAGAGAAATGTCCCCCCCAAAGCACTTAATCCAGGCTGCGCGGGAACACAAGGCTGCGCCACCCACATGGCCCACCCCCCATTTTTGAGCCAGATCTCATCTAATCCTCAAGAAAATGAAAGGACACGTGGACGCGAATCCGTCTAACCTTTGCTCTTTGCCTCTGTTAAAGGAGTTTGCTTGTACTATTTTGCTAAGGGCGGGAATTCATTCGGTGAGAGAATTGTATCCTTTTCTATCCGGTTTCTCGCCTCTGCAATTTGCCAGGCCCCTCCTTGGAGACTATTCCCAAGAGCATCCTGCTCCCTAGATAAGGGGAGGCCGCCTAGGAGCACAACCACACAAGGGATACTGTGTAAAATAACAACGTGTGGCTAGAGCCCAGAGGACCAAGACCGCTCCATGGGTAAGGAAGGGAAGACACTTCCCTTTATGTCTGATTGAATAAATAAACCAACCTTTATGTCTGATTGAATAAACTTTGTTTCTGTCAGCGTAAAATGTACATAATACCCTGAGCCACTCTCGCAAGGTGTGGCTGTTCCTTACATGCATTTTGCCTGTATGTTTTCAGACATAGTATTTGTCACGCCCCTGTTAGAATCTGACTCGGAGGGAAAGGAGGAACAGGGATTGGGAGTGTAGCTCCGGAGGCTGTGGAGGAAACTGGGGAAGGACAGAGGCCGGATGGGCATTGAGAGGAAGACCCAGGCCCATCCCCTCTCCGTCCTAGGGCACGCAGGGAGGAACAGAGAAAGGAGCAACATGGGTTCGATGGCTTACGGGGGAAGAAGAGGCCCTGATCCCCTTCATGGGCTGCAGCTGGGAGGATGGTTTAAAAGGACAAACTGCGCATGGGCCCAGTGCTGGAAACGAAGCGTGAAATAATTCTAGTCTTTCAGTCCTTATCTGAGTTCTTACCTTCCCAGTGTGTGTATTTCGGTATCTGTGGACGTCTTCAAGCCCTGATCCTGCCTGGTCTCACTAATTGCTTCAGTGTGGTTTGTGTGGGTTGTTTTTTTTATTCATAATTTATATGCATTTTGAGTTTGAACAGCATTTTTTCCTTTTCGCAGCTGTTTGTGGGGGAGTTTTTTTTTTTCTCCAGTCAATGATAATTGGACCTTGGAGGCCAAGTTGAAGGAATGAAAAGAGACTTCACCTGTTTTTGTGACTTGGTTGCTTTTATATCCCACCCTGGGTCATCACAGGAATCACCCAGACTTTTTTTGCTTTGGCCAAAGAATTTAAAAAAAAAAAAAAGCGGTTATTTTTGCCAGCCTTCTCTCGAGTTGTGCCCTTTGGCATCTCCGCGGCTCAGGGAAACTTCTGGGACCTTAGAGAATCACCCCGGATGCCTGTTTTGGTAGCTGCAGCACCCTATCAATGGGATGGGCTTCAATGTCATTTCTGGCCCCTTTCACCTTTGACCTTCCCAGGGGTGCCCCGTTTCTGGGCCCCTCCAGGTCGGTTCTCCCCTACCTGGTCGTATTCGCTGCCCGCCTCCAACAAGCTCTGCTGAATGGCAAACTGCAGAAGGTCGTCTTCGTCCTCTCGCAATGGCTCTGGGTGCCTCCCGACGATGCTGTAGCCCTGGGGGGCTTCGAAGAGAGAGGGGTCCATCTCAAAGCAGCGGCAGGAGCCTGCGAGGAGGGAGTCCAACCACCATCAGAATAACAGAGTTGGGAGGGACCTTGTAGGTCATCTAGTCCAACCCCCCCACCCACCCAAGCGGGAGACCCTACACCATTTCTGACAAAT